AATCATCTCGGCTCTCATAATTTGGATGATTGCCTTTTCTTTAGGCTAAAGGGGTGACTAAGGACAATGTAAAGTGTTCAGGATAAACAAACATTGCCTCTCATCATTGAATCTATTAGCTCTTGAATTTGATCATGATTTACTATTCTTAGTCTAATGATTGCCATCATTTTGATATCTAAGCTTCAAAACCCTCAAAAAGGACTTTTCTTTTGGGTTATAATAGGGTTTGGTTAAGGTTTGATAAGAAGAATGGGAATTAAAGGCTCAAAATTAACCAACATGCCCCGCAAGTTACATGACTTAGCTAGAAGCTTTCTATTTTAAACCCTTGCCATGTGACATTTGCATTGTCATTTCTCTTTTATCTTCTCTTTTTTTTTCTTTTTTTTTTCTTTTTGTTGTTCTTCCTTTTGTTGAACTTTTGCTCTTTTTGAACTTCACTCCTCTTTTGAGATTTCTCTTCATGGCTTTTAGCAATATGATCTTGCCCCTAATTAGGCATGTAACTATATTCCCCAGTTTTGGGATAGGTATGAAAGAAAAGGCTCACTTTTTCTTTTTAGGCTCAACTTGGTTGACAAAAGGATGGCTCTTTTGGGTAAAGTGTTTGGAAATTAGGCTCATAAAAGATGGCCTTTGATGCTTGAGCTTTTCACTTTAGACCTCAAAATGATGACAATCATTCAACTTAAGTTAGCAAGATTTCCTTATTCTCTCTTCCTTTTTTTTTTTTCTTTTCTTTTCAAATCTTTACTCACCATTTTCTTCTTGCATGAGTCTATCACATTTGACTGCAACTTTGGCCTTTGATTTTGCAACACATCAATTAGTTCAAGGGAAGAATCAAGATCACTATCATCCTCCTTGACATGGATTTGGATCATTTAAACTATATACAAATTCTGAAATGGCATCATTGTATTTAGATTCATCACTAGCAAAGCATGAAAGTAAAAAGAAACATGAATAAGTAATAGCATGCAAGGAAAGCATATATATGCAAGTAAGATTTTTTTTTTTTTTTAAGCATATTAATGGCATCAAATGATGTCTTAATGGTGAATGATGGTTTGGACAATGATTAACAAGAAGAGTTGTATCAAGTTTAATAGATGGTGATATGGCAACATGTGTTATTAAATTGTAAAGACTAGGAAAACTAATTAGCATGATAGCAAATATTTCAGAGAATATAAAAAAGCCTGTTATTCCCTCCTTTCATGTATCCACAAGCTGAGCTACTAGAAAGCTAACTCATCCCACTCATGGATGAATGAAGCAGAGAAAAGCTTGACTGTCCAATTGGCCAAAATGCCCCCAAGGCAAAAGTAATGATCATGTCAAATAAGGGTTCATCCTTAAGAGTAATAACACTCAGTTTTCCCCATGTCCTAGATTTGCACCCTCATTCATTGAATCTAGATCCACATGTCTCGTGTGTTAGTCCATTTCAACATCGTATCTTGATGAGCTTATAAAAGCATGTTGAGGCCGCCTTTTAGATGGATGATGCATTGTTCCAAAGAGAGAGAGAAAACATAGGGAGACTGTCATGCCTTTTTTTTTTTTTTTTTGTTCTTAAAGTAGTTTATGAAACCTACCTTCAAACAAAAAGTAAAAGAAAAATAAACAAAGTTAGAATAATATTAGAAGTCATCCCATAATTTTGCATGATTTAGTGCTTCAACAATTGCTATATGGATTCACACATTATCAATTTCTAATCCTTAAGGAGCCTCGGATGAAGCAAAATATCTTTGAACGCCTTGAGATTTCCATCAAACTCCAAGGGCTATAGAAAAGACACTTATAAGTAGTTCAACATGCATTACAAAGATGGTCATTCATTACAAAGCAGAAGCCTAGTACATCACACTAAGTACATCAACATGGTAGCATTCAAATCCCTAGTAAAATCTGACTCCTAGATCTTTCAAAGTACAATTGTCTAATGAGAAGTTTCATTCTTTTCCTTGATAAATCCCTTGATTGCTGGAGCAACATGAAGTATGATGTGCTTGAGCTTTTGATCTTTAAGGTTGCTCTTGGTTCTTGTCCTTCTAAGCTTGCCCCCTGGACTTAGCAATTGTCCACGATGGAGAAAATGCTTGTAGTTGAAGATCTCCTGAATCCTTTGTTGGTCAAAGCTTTCTCCATGGATGAATATTTCAAAGGTGTCTTAATTGATGAAGAATCACGCTTGACCATGTATGAATCCATATTTCAATTGTTGAAGGTAGAGAATCAAGCAAGATTATGGAAGTGCAATAAAAGAAATAAACATAAATGCCAAACAATAGATAAAGGATGAAGGAACATAAATATGCTCTAAAGTGATAATGTGTGTGAAGTTGTATCATAAAGCATGCATTTTTGGGAATGCAAGAAAAGAAATAAACATGGATGGGAACGGAAAGATAAAGGATGCAAGAACATAAATATGCTAACAAGTGGTAATGTGTGTGAAATTGCATCCTAAAACATGAATTTTTCTTCATTAAGTATGCTAAGCAAATTTCAAAGGAGAAGTTGGTGATTCACTATTGCAACCCATTAAATTGGCATTCATAGGAAATATCATTCCTTTGAAAAGAAAGCAAATGCCTTGAAGCTTGAAGAAAAAGTGAATGGTGTGATGCTTGGAGAAAATGGATGATGTGATGCTCCAAAGTTATGTACTTAAATTATTTTAATGCCTAAAAGATGGATTTTTCATTAATTTATCTTTGAAGAACCTCTATTTTTTTTTCTTTTTTTTCTTTTTTTGTAAATGTAAAATGCTTTAGATTTAGTTGAATAAGACCCACAAGTTTGAAACATGCAAGTATAAATTTCATGTAGAAAATGTAAGGTGGTGAGAACTTTGAATAAGAATTTGGACAAATTTTTTTTAAATTTTTGTTTTTTTTTTTTTTATGAAATGTGAGAAAGATGAGATGAAGAAACATGAGAAGGAAACTAACAATATGAAACAGAGATAGATAAAATTTTCATTTTTTGCATTTTTCCTTTTTTTTTTTTATGCAACTTTTATAAAATAAGAGAAATATGAGATGGAGATAGTAATGCTTGGAATAAAAATTGAGATAGAAACTACAATGTGAAATGGATGTGAATGAGGTTTTTTTAACATATTTTTGTGCAATTTTTTATATGAGATAAAAGAAGTAATGCAGTGAACATGGGTGGAATTTCTTTTTTTTTTTAATTTTTTTTTGAAATAAGAAAAATGAAATGTAAAATGAATAGAATGGAGAATGTCACATGAGATGAATATGAAAACATGTTTTGTGATGCATTAGATGGAAAATGCAATGCAATGGACATATGACATGAAATTTGCAAGACAAATGGAAGATTTAATGTGAAATGAGTAGGATGGATATACGACATGTGAAACAGTCATGAACTTTTTCTTCTTTTTTTTTTTCTTTGATGTGTGGGGTTGAAAGTGAAAATACCAAGTGCATGGAATGCTCCTTACCTCAAGAATGATGTCTAAATGCAGAAGATGAATAACTAATCATACCTCAAATGTATATAAAAATGAAAACCTGTCATATGCAGAGACAAGGTTAGTGAAGTAAAATGCCCCTTTTGTGTCTTAAACATGGGACGCCTAACCCCACGGGTGGGAGGCTAGGGAAACATGTCCTAGGGTTGGTATCTCTTTAAAGCCAATACATGTTTTCCTAAAGGGCATTAGGCCTTTTCAACCATTTATCCTTTTGGAATCAACGGGAGATATTTCCAGAAGCTAATACACAGAATGATATGACATCATCAAGTGTCGTATTAACCAATGGAAACAACCTAACGGGAACCAATCTTACTCCTCAAAGCGGGAAGAACTGCTCTTCCAAGCCAGATTCATAAGGATTCCAAACTAAAGGTTGGGTTCACCTTTTACACGAACCTAATGCACAATGAAAGTGAGTGTGTGCAAGGGGCATGACACTCCAATAACCTGCACAATGGCAACCACAAAAATAGCAACATATATCCCACAGTAAGTAGATAAAGCAAACAAGCAAATAAAACATGTAAAGCACTCAACAAATATATCACCCACAAACAAAACCTACTTACACAGCAGGAAAGGACTCACCTCGTACTCCCATGCCAAATGCAAAAAGTTAGTACATCCACATGCAAGCAAGTAAGCATGTAAGCATGATGCATGATGAATAAGCATGTTATATCAATGATGGATGAGCATGTGAGATGATATGATGCATAAACATGTTAGCAAGATATGATGCATGTCAAGATTTAGCAAGATAACTATTCAAAGGCAAAACAATCAAAGCAACCACTAAAACAATAAGCAAACAAGCAACAAGCAACACGCAACAAACATATATAATAAATGACAAAGACCCACAAAGACTCAACAATCAAAAAGAAAAAATTAAAAGCTGAAAAATCCCCAAAGTTAAAGTATTAGCTCAACCCTCGTGAACCTAGAATATGGAAACCAGAGATTCTGGGTTCGTTCCCTAGTGGAGTCGCCAATCTGTTGATGACCACCTAATTTTTCAAAATAATGAAAAAATTAAGTGTAAAATAAAAAAGAAAAGGGAGTCATCACTCGTTCAAATTATAAGGTGGGACAAGTCACCTAAAATGGGTTTGCCCAGAGATCGGAGTTCAAGGGTTCAGTTAGAAGCTAGGAAGGGCATACGTGCATCTCACAATCCTCCATTTAAACACGGTTGCATACTTTAACACTGGGGGGTTTTAATTCAACTTATTCATTATGTTTATATTTGGGTTTTAATAAACAAACTTGAAAAAGAGATAAACCAAATTGCAACATTTTTAATCTTTTGGACTAAAATGGACAAAATCAAAGACATGCATGCACAATGAACACAAGTAAAAATTAAAGGGTCTAGTTTGACTATATTCCAAAACATGAAGGATTGATTTGACTAAATTCACAAACATGGAGGAATGATTTAAAAAGAATTGAGACCTATGGACTAAAGTGCTTAATTATAAAACTTTTGGGTGAAATTGAGATAAAATAAAAGATAACTCTCACTTTAACCAAAATTAAAGAAAATTGAGGATTGAAATTAATTAATCAAGATAATTACTTTAATTGAATAATTAATTTAACATTAATTAAAATTAATTAAAATTAATTAATTACATTTACTAATCATTAATTAAGATAATCAAATAAATTTAATTATCCCAAATTAAATTTCAATAAATATGATTAATTTATTTTAATTAAAATTAATTAACTCCATTAATCATAAATTAAACTAACTCACCTAATTAATTAATAAAGTTTATATACATATATTTTACTTTTTAACCTTTTTTTTTTTTTTTTTTTAGATTGGATCGGGTCAACTCGACCCACAAAAACACAACCCATCAACCCGAAACGGATAAAACAAATCAAACACGAAACATAACAAGTCTTCAAATAGGGTTCATCTCCTTTCTACCCTTTTTTTTTCTTTTTTTTTTTGTGTTTTAAAGAAGAACACATTCATTCCAAATAAAAATAAAATAAAATTAACATTCATTAACAGAAAGGAAAGGCAACACAACCATCACACAAAACAAATTGAACGATTTTTTTTTTTTTTTTGATCTTTCATTGATTTTCAATAAACACATACAAACGTAAACATCATAAAAGCATATCACAGAAACATGAAGACAAAATAAACAAACACGGCAGAGCTTTCTGAGTAACAAATCAGAGTTCGATCTGGGGGATCCCACCCATGAGGTCAAGCCCAAATCATTCCCCTCATTGCCTCCCCAAAAAGCCTCCTTTGTTGCAGGAAAATACCTAAGGTAAATACCCAAAAAATGTTTAATCTCCTTCGATGAGCTTTGGAAGTTCAGCGATCCTCTTCCTCTTGCTGCCACCTCCGTCAATACCCAAACTCAGACAAAAGAACCCCCTGGAAGAACCCCAGATCTGTTCCTCTCAATTTTTTAGTTCTTCTTCTCCCTCCCAAAACTAGATCTCCCCTTTTTTTTTTTCGAACTTCTCTCTCTTTCTCTTTTTTTTTTTTATCATCTCTCTTCCGTCAAACGCCAAAACTCAAAAACCAAAGAAACCCCCCCCTTAAGCTCTAAAAAAAGAACCCGAAAATCAACCAGCCAAATCCCCCTAGACCTTTGCTTTTTGCTCTATATATTTACCCAAACAACAAAATAAAATAAAAATGAAAAAGCCTTGCTCTGTCATTCACTAATGATGTCGATTTTGTCTGTTGTGTGCTGTTTTTTTTCTATATGGCTATAGCATGCAGGAGGCAAGGGCGTGGGATTGGGCGTAGAGTGCAGGAGGCACAGGCTCGGTGCAATAGTAAGGGCACAAGCAACAAGGGTAGGGGCGTAGGCGTGGCAAGGGGTAGGGTAGAGCAAGGCCGGGCATGCGAAGGCATGATTGTTGGTGTGCAGGGGGTATGATTGCCGATGTGAAGGGGGTGAGGGGATCTAGTGCAGAGTAAGGCTCGCGTGCGGAGCAAGCAAGGGCGTCGGCAGCAGGGGGTGCGCAAGCAACTGCAGGCTCAGGTGCAGCAGCAAGGGCTCAGGTGCAGCAGCAAGGGCTCAGGTGCAGCAGCAAGGGCGCAGGTAGCATGCCTTTGTATGCTCCCCATAATATAAAAAGCAATTGTTAATACAAACATTAATTTTTAAATAACCTAACCCAAGCCCTCTCATAAAATTTTTTACTTCATAAAAGTTTGTAGGAACTTTTTTCTTGATCTATAGCACTTAATGATCTCCTCAATCCTTCAGCGATGGTATTAAATCCACCACCAGTTATATTATTCAAAATCTTAGTGTGCAACATATATGAGAGTTAGTTGAGCACTATCTCATTTATGCTATAATTATACCAAGTAATATTGTAGATACATAAAGCAAGTCATAAAGTGCCTTTTCTTGATTGTTCAGTTCTTCATCCGATATTAATTAGGGAAATTAGCTTCCATTTCCTGATAATAATCATCCGCTTGGCAAAATGCATCACATATCAGCCCACAGAAATTGTTCCTTTCATCATGGTGTGCATCTTGGCTATGCGATGATTCACCCAAATTAGCAACAAACCCTGGATCTAAATTCACAAACATTTCACCATGCACCCAGCAAATAGAATAAGTATTCATAAAACCATTCACAATAAGATGATTCCATACCATTCCCTAAGTCATCAACACTACAAGGACATTTGATTGAATCATTCAGTCCAAGACCAAGCCTACTATATGCAAATTGAAGGAAATATTCAACTCTATAGTAGAACTCCTAGTATATTCCTCCTTGAGAAGTTTGATGTCCATACATTCAACTACGATAATCCATAATCTTATTGAATGACAAAAAAATAAAAAAATGATTACTCTCATAACAATTATAATATTTTTTATATATTTTATAGTTCATTTACTAAGCTAATATATAAACATGTTAAATTCATTCATCAACAAAATTTTTTATAAACAAGCTATTAAATTTTTATTTAACAAAAAATAAATATTTAACTATACAATTATAACAATATAGTGAAAATAAAACTTATTATATAGTGAGGGTTCATGAAGCAAAATATTAACCTACAAAAACTATTATTAAATTATTAATTTATATATATTTTCCCCAAAAAATTTATTTATATATGCCATTAAATTATAGAAATTCCATTCAAAATTAACATAATACAACTTAAAATAAATGCAACAACAAAATAAGATCAATTACTATATTATTAGAATTTCACCATTCATCGCTAGAATTTCACCAAAAAATCATGAAAAAATTCTTGATAAACATTCATAAAATTTACTCAAAACAACCAATTGGACAATGTTAATATCAAATGAACTAATCACAATACTTGATAGTCTAAACTATAACAAAAAATACAAAATATGCATAATCCATTTGGATTCATCACAAAAACATATCAAAATTGATAATATCACCCAAACCTCACTAACCACTGCCTGATCTACTAATTGTGAGAAGAAAATTGCTGAATTTGCCACTGCTTGGCTCATAAAAAGAAAAGAAAAAAATGAAGGAACGGGAAATGCAATCGGAAGAGGAAAAGGAAAATGACAGGGGAAGGGGGTTCATTGCAAAAAGGGACCATAACCTCTCCTTTTATGGACAAGCTTCATAATGGTAAGGGGAAAAGCTTATTACCTTCTTGATTTTGATCAGATTTCAGCAGATTTCACTTACTGAGATTTCAACTGACCAACGTGATATTGGTTGTAGTTTATTTTCCAACGAGCTTCACATCTCAAATTAATTCATTTGACTCCTTTACCGGTCTACAATCTAATCAAAATAATTTCAAATGAGGACCACGTTGGTATTTTAAGATTTTATTGACGAAGTTAATGTGTGAACATTAAATAATATAAACTAATGTTATTTTTACTGTTTTACTAAATGCAAACATGTTACATGTCGGTAATTTGGTCTTGTAATTGCACCAGACCCGAAGTCCTTCTCTAGTCCGCGTTTGCACTTCGGAATGACCTGCAAAGCCCCGAGGTGGAACTCGGGGTAGACACTCCGATGCTTAAGTCAGCAATAATCGGGGCTACCTTTAGGGCGGAGATAAGAAAAGCTTAAGGTTGGTTTCAATTACCTTTTGACGTGGCCCGGGGGGGGTATTTATAGGATTCAATGAGGAACCCACGTGGCATG